TCACCGGAAGTAACGTCATTTTGGCAAAAACTGTATTTTTAGCCTTCAAAACAGATATTTTATTCAAATGAATCAGATTTGTAATGTTTTTAAAATTATGATATTTGATTCCAATCAACAAATAGAATGAACTCATTCGATCATACAGATACCTCAAAATGGTTTCTAACTTGTACGGTTGCAGAGAAATAGGCGATTTTCTACAAGTCATTTTTCAAGGTTTTTGGTCTATAAAGGTGGCAATTATTATAGGATTTACATAAAATTTTCAACATGTGATGATGCTATTTCTGATTTCATAAACCAATTTAACATTTTCATTATCACCGGAAGTAATGTAATTTTGACAGGATCACTGACATGTAGCAAATGAATTGATTGCTGGATTTGGTTGTTTCTGCGTCCATTTTATTTCATGTGTGCAATGCTTATGTGGAAACCTGTTTAACGGTTTCATTGGTACCGGAAGTGACATAAGTTCAAGGGTAACGTGGCACCGGTGAAACCCGTCATTACTGCTTCGCAGTTCTAGTTATTATTATTATTCTTCTTTTGTTTTGAGTAGATCTCAGCAACTACTTGTCGCATCGTTACGATTTCTTCGGTTTTACTGGGAAAGTGGGTGTGACTTAGAGGATAAAGCTATTTTGAACGTTCTGCGACAATGCGAAATGTCCGAAATCACCGAAGTTATCGTTTTTACAAATATTGCGGTAATTTTAACAATAATCATGGGATTTTAACTTTCGATACATTTTGGCATAGCTGGAGACAGGGCACATAGCTGCGCTACTTTTGATTTTTGATTTTCGGCAAATCTTCGCAGATATTAGGCGCTAAATTTAGAAAATTTAAATTTTTACAAAAAACTTTTTTATTTATGAATATTTTTTAGTCGTGTTTTACACAAATATAACGAGCCCTCTGACTTGGGCAAAAATGTGAAAATTTTTTGTCTCGGTAATTTTCCTTGGCCCCCATTGGCTAATTCAGTTTTTCAGTCCTAGATTAATTATTTATTGTTCGATTTGTATAAAACAAAGTTCATATGCTCCGTTGTCTCAATTGTCATTTTTTTTGTTACCAATAGTGTTATCTGTCGGCACCGGAAGTGGCGTAAATTGACAAAAAACTACAATTTTGACAGTTAGGTACCATTTTTCGAAAGCAAATATTATTGTTTTCAAATCTGGTATAACTGAAATTGTGCGCCCTTTAAAGGCGCACAAAATGTTGGGACCAGTTTTTTTAATTTCGATTCCGTTTTCGGGCTATTTCGATTAAAAGGTGAAAAAAGGTGTAAAATTAAGCTATTTACAACCCATCCAGCGTTTTCATATTTTAAAATATTACTTCGTAACTTTCATAAACTCGTAGCAATAATCTATACGGAGAGAATGTATGTGAAAATTAATTTGTAATATGCGCAGTTGCCGAGAAATGGGCAATTTTGCATGAGTCACTTTTTACGCTAGTTTGCCTGTAAAAGAGTCAATTATTATTCGATTTTCATAAAAGTGACACCATTTGATGTGTAATGTCAATTTTAACTAGGTCAAACCAAATTAACCCTTTCAATATCACCGGAAATGACGTAATTTGGGCAAAAATTGTATTTATAGCCTTCGAAACCAGTAATTTATTCAAATGAGTCATATTTGTTATTTGTTTAAAATTTTGATATTTGATTCAAATCAACTAATACAATGACCCCTTACGATCATATAGATATCACAAAATGGTTTCTAACTTGTTCAGTTGCGGAGAAATAAGCAATTTTCAACAGGTCACTTTTTAAGGTTTTTTGTCAATAAAAGTCTCAATTATTATTCGATTTTCATGAAATTTTCACTGTGTGATACATAATGCCATTTACGATTTCATACAAGTAATTTCAGATTTTCATTATCACCGGAAGTAACGTCATTTTGGCAAAAACTGTATTTTTAGCCTTCAAAACAGATATTTTATTCAAATGAATCAGATTTGTAATGTTTTTAAAATTATGATATTTGATTCCAATCAACAAATAGAATGAACTCCTTCGATCATACAGATACCTCAAAATGGTTTCTAACTTGTACGGTTGCAGAGAAATAGGCGATTTTCTACAAGTCATTTTTCAAGGTTTTTGGTCTATAAAGGTGGCAATTATTATAGGATTTACATAAAATTTTCACCATGTGATCATGCTATTTCTGATTTCATAAACCAATTTAACATTTTCATTATCACCGGAAGTAATGTAATTTTGACAGGATCACTGACATGTAGCAAATGAATTGATTGCTGGATTTGGTTGTTTCTGCGTCCATTTTATTTCATGTGTGCAATGCTTATGTGGAAACCTGTTTAACGGTTTCATTGGTACCGGAAGTGACATAAGTTCAAGGGTAACGTGGCACCGGTGAAACCCGTCATTACTGCTTCGCAGTTCTAGTTCTTATTATTATTATTCTTCTTTTGTTTTGAGTAGATCTCAGCAACTGATTGTCGGATCGTTACGATTTCTTCGGTTTTATCGGAAAAGTGGGTGTGACTTAGAGGATAAAGCTATTTTGAACGTTCTGCGACAATGCGAAATGTCCGAAATCACCGAAGCTATCGTTTTTAGAAATATTGCAGTAATTTTAACAATAATCATTGGATTTTAACTTTCGATGCATTTTGGCATAGCCGGAGACGGGGCACATAGCTACGCTACTTTTGATTTTTGATTTTCGGCAAATCTTCGCAGATATTAGGCGCTAAATTTAGAAAATTTAAATTTTTACAAAAAACTTTTTTATTTATGAATATTTTTTAATCGTGTTTTACACAAATATAACGAGTCCTCTGACTTGGGCAAAAATGTGAAAATTTTTTGTCTCGGTAATTTTCCTTGGCCCCCATTGGCTAATTCAGTTTTTCAGTCCTAGATTAATTATTTATTGTTCGATTTGTATAAAACAAAGTTCATATGCCCCGTTGTCTCAATTGTCATTTTTTTTGTTACCAATAGTGTTATCTGTCGGCACCGGAAGTGGCGTAAATTGACAAAAAACTACAATTTTGACAGTTAGGTACCATTTTTCGAAAGCAAATATTATTTTTTTCAAATCTGGTATAACTGAAATTGTGCGCCTTTTAAAGGCGCACAAAATGTTGGGACCATGTTTTTTAATTTCGATTCCGTTTTCGGGCTATTTCGATTAAAAGGTGAAAAAAGGTGTAAAATTAAGCTATTTACAACCCATCCAGCGTTTTCATATTTTAAAATATTACTTCGTAACTTTCATAAACTCGTAGCAATAATCTATACGGAGAGAATGTATGTGAAAATTAATTTGTAATATGCGCAGTTGCCGAGAAATGGGCAATTTTGCATGAGTCACTTTTTACGCTAGTTTGCCTGTAAAAGAGTCAATTATTATTCGATTTTCATAAAAGTGACACCATTTGATGTGTAATGTCAATTTTAACTAGGTCAAACCAATTTAACATTTTCAATATCACCGGAAATGACGTAATTTGGGCAAAAATTGTATTTATAGCCTTCGAAACCAGTAATTTATTCAAATGAGTCATATTTGTTATTTGTTTAAAATTTTGATATTTGATTCAAATCAACTAATACAATGAACCCTTACGATCATATAGATATCACAAAATGGTTTCTAACTTGTTCAGTTGCGGAGAAATAGGCAATTTTCAACAGGTCACTTTTTAAGGTTTTTTTGTCAATAAAAGTGTCAATTATTATTCGATTTTCATGAAATTTTCACTGTGTGATACATAATGCCATTTACGATTTCATACAAGTAATTTAAGATTTTCATTATCACCGGAAGTAACGTCATTTTGGCAAAAACTGTATTTTTAGCCTTCAAAACAGATATTTTATTCAAATGAATCAGATTTGTAATGTTTTTAAAATTATGATATTTGATTCCAATCAACAAATAGAATGAACTCATTCGATCATACAGATACCTCAAAATGGTTTCTAACTTGTACGGTTGCAGAGAAATAGGCGATTTTCTACAAGTCATTTTTCAAGGTTTTTGGTCTATAAAGGTGGCAATTATTATAGGATTTACATAAAATTTTCAACATGTGATGATGCTATTTCTGATTTCATAAACCAATTTAACATTTTCATTATCACCGGAAGTAATGTAATTTTGACAGGATCACTGACATGTAGCAAATGAATTGGTTGCTGGATTTGGTTGTTTCTGTGTCCATTTTATTTCATGTGTGCAATGCTTATGTGGAAACCTGTTTAACGGTTTCATTGGTACCGGAAGTGACATAAGTTCAAGGGTAACGTGGCACCGGTGAAACCCGTCATTACTGCTTCGCAGTTCTAGTTCTTTTTGAAATTATTAATTTATATATAAATATTAATTATTATATATATATATTTAAAATCCGATTTGTCCATGCGAATGTTCCAGTTTAAATTCAAAATACGATTATTATGTGTATTTCATCTATCAAATAAATTGAAACAAAATGAAATGCTCCTACTGGGCTAATGAAGACGAACATATGCCATACAGTGGGCTACAAGGGAAATTGTGTCCATCCTACCCTTATTTCAACTGTGAAGGGATTTTTTTTACGTGCACGCCAATGTGTACACAGGACCTAGGTTTTTCATCCCATCCGAAAGACTATACGTTGTCTCTTGTCAGGTCCTCCGTCCTGCACCACTGACAAGCGGGAACTATGACGAAAGATTCCAGATTAACATTCCCGGCCAAGGCAGGGAACGAACACGGGTTCGCCATAGCCAACGTCTTAGTCACTGAGCTATCATGGTTACAAAAAACTGAAACAATACGCGTTAAAGATTTAGCGATACATTATCTTTCCATTATTAATAACGCTATAATACACGTACAGGCATGTTGATTCATTTTATATATTAATAGGTAATTACATGATCCATCATTGTCATACGATCACCATTGATTTATTTGTAGAATTCATGTAATAATTCATATTCTACTTACTCTATGTGGATAGGCCAGATGAAAGTTTACTGAAATTGTGGAGCCTGCTAAGAGTGATGTTTTTGGTCCAAGAGCTGAAAATAGATAAAGACACGTTTTGGTAAAACACTAATCTGAGAATAGTCAGACTCAAATGCTTTGAATCTTTCAAAAGACAGAGATACGGATCGAATGCCAAATGCCATTTTATTGGTATTCAATCTAATCTAAAATTATATCCCTATTTCGTTAAGTCTTTATGCCTCTGGTTTTCTACACTACATTTAATATTATATTCAGGAAGCATGCAGTTTGGGCGGCTGGTGTCGACTGCGTTATGCACTAGACTTCGGTGAGTTTATAAATATATCAGTGGACGGTGTCTTGATGTGTTTGAATTGGCTAGTTACTATGTAAATCTATAAACACGAGACAATGGTAAAACTTGTCAGATGTTAAGTAGATTTTAGTCCAGTAAACTATAAAATACGGATCATGAAACGAACGATGACCAAAATTAATTGAAAAAAGTTTAATTCTAATCGGATTGATTGGTATGAGCCCTAGTCTCTTTCTAATTGTAAAAGTATTTATCATAAATTGTAGCAAGCTAAATGTCATGAAATAACAAATCATTTTAGTTTGAATAGGCACTTTCATCAAGAAAGTACACGTAACTAATTTCGTGTTTAAGCCTTAGACCACACGAATTATAGAAAATCCAAATACTCGTCTACTTGAAGTAAGGCATTTTTGATGTAGGTTCGTTGACCTCCTTGTAAATCTGTTAGAAATGTATACGTCTTTAGCTCAGCAATGTATTGGCTGATTTTATTTTTTTTAGTGTGCAATTTAAACAGAACACCAACGATACACCTGTGTAGGTAATTTGCATCAAATGGCAAAAATCTTCAAAGTGCAAGTATGCTTCTTAAATAAAAAATTTTTGCAGTGTCATCTTAGTAAATTCGTAGCTAGGCAACTAACTACACTAGAGAATAAATAATTGATTTCGTTCCCATTAACAACAAGAGAAACAAGATATTAAATATATTGAAGGGGCTTTGTATTTCAATCTGTTAGAAAACTATCTTTTATTAATTTTATTATTTTTTATGTATTGTTATTTGCTTTCGTGCGGTTTAGTCTAATGTAGTACTTGACGAGTAACGGTTACTTACATGGGCATTTACCAATATTGGGTATATTTCACCACCAGATTACCAATCTCTATAATTCAAACAAATATTCTACGAATCGTACGTTGAAGATTAGGGATTACGAGAAACAAACTTAATGTGTGCTGGGCTTGTTTTTCTGTCTGTCTGTCCGTATTTTCGATGTTTTTACGAACTAATCATAAGTAGCATGGTAGCGTTATTGCCCCTGTAACCTTAATCATGTAAACGCGCTACAGTTCAGAGATTTTTATTTTAAACTTGTTGGAATTGCTTGGCATGACGTAAAGTGGAATTCAGACACGTGTATCATTTGTTTGCAGATATAAATAAAATAAAACCAAGTACGAACAATCCAAACCATTAGACAAAATTCGAAGTCCTTTAAAAACGGTATAGGCAAAATAGTGTAATAAGGCAAAATAGTGTAATCAGCATATGGACTGTTCACCGTGTACAAAATACACGACAAACAGTGGTAACAGGTGTCCGGAAGAGTAAACATACCCTGCCTGGTGCCACACCCGCCATAGCTGCATCCAAACTATTAGACGAAATCTCGGCAAAATAACGTGATTGGCCAATGACAGCCTACACCGGTTGTGTTCCAAAAACAAACGATATAGGCAAAATAGTGTAATCTGGCAAAATAGTGTAATCAGCAAATGGACTGCTCACCGTGTACGGCTCCTCTTACAAAAACCTGGTAATCACTACGATATTTACAAAAGTTCGACTTTTGGACTTATTTTATGTCTCCGTGCGTTTTTGCAAAGCAATATTTATATCCGAAAGTTTTTTTTTTTATAAATATGAATATCATATTACAAATTACGATGGACGAAAGCGGTGACCGAGAAATATTGCTAGCACGAAATATTTATACTTGTATTGAATTGATCTAATGCATTGTATGAAGATTAATAAAGTAAAAAACATTTATGAACACCCAACAAAAACCCTAAGGCAAAGGCATTAGTCTTTGTAATAAAGCAGAACTTTTGATCTATTTATGATTTATATCGCTTTTGTCGATGACTTTGGTAATAATATGTTTAAGGCTTGTCTATGGGATAATATTGTAAATGTATAGCATTGTATCGATTTAACCCCTTGACTTACTATTTATGTCACAATATAATGTTAACGTGACGACAACAAAACTTTGAGATAATACAAATCCCTATTTGATCAACCATTTCACCCGAAACATGAAATAGCAAAATAATAATTTCAAGTGGGGTATGCCCAGAAAATTAAAAATATTTTTCTTGCCTAAATCTTTTCTAATAGTTAATAAGACAATGTTTTCCCCGTAATGTTGTTGTGGTCTATTGGAGAATAAAAATTTAATGAAATAGAATGAGTATAGTGTGTTTATACCATAGAGTTAACTATGTTCCATACGGATCTCCAACAATATACTCGTCCATGCAATCATAAGTATACTTGAATATGTTGTGGTCAGTTTAGAGATATTCACCAATAGAGTCGTTCATGAGTAAACTATGTATACGTATTTTTTAGACCAGAAACTGGTTCCCAGGCGCTACTCATCTTGTTGTTGTTTTTGTTGTTGTTTTTGGGGTGACACTCTTCGAAAAAAAGCCAAGGCCCCACCAATCCATGTACGATCGAAATGAAACTTGGCATGCTTGTTCTTTGTACAATTGCGCATCGATCGGCTGACTTCCATTTTTGATTGATATGATGACGTTATATCCAGTTGCTGGTCCATAGTACGTTGGTACTTGTTTTTATACCATCTGAATCTCGAGAGTAATCTCGAATCTTTGACAGTTCGAATTCGATATAAGAGTAGGCCGTAGTACCGATAACCGAGAAAAATTTCCCTCATAGCCAATTAGCCTAGCGTCAAACTGCACGCAGCGATCCATCTACGTCATACTTCGAGATTATGATCACTGCCCTAGTTGCCCGCCATTTAAAACGCTCACGTGATCATTTTGGGGCGGGACTTATCGACTGGACTACTGCTTTGTGTACACAACAGAGTAAAAATAACCCGATCAAGCACGTGTTATGTAAATACATGTCATTGGCAAAATATTATCTTCTGCCACTCCTGTAAAAGCGATATATAATAATATGTGCTAGTGGGTAATATTGCAATACATTCTTTGCCATTGTAAACTGCCTTTAGAGTTTCAATCTGTTTATCTTTCAAAACAAGGTTAGATACTCCTAAATTTGTCTTCGTAAACAAAACCGACTCTGTGAAATTATCTTTCAGGGGCGCCGCCATATTGAATAAGTAGAGGACTATTTTGTGATTCGGCTTTGATTAGTTTGGCATTTTCATACACACAGCGGCTAAATAAACATATTTAATTTCATTCAATATGACAATAGAAGAGAAATAAATACTTCTAAAAATTACTAAAAGCATACTCAGTGTTTTCGACTAAAATCGTCGACGTAGGAATTAAAATGTCGGTTAATTAGCTTCGGGCCTGTTCTCAGGCGGGGCTAGCTGTAGACAGGCAGCCTAAGTTTGGGATGGCCTAGCGTATGTCCGTCTTCATTAGCCCAGTCGGTGCAGAACAATAGGACTTTTAACCGCATTTGATTGCATTTCCATCTGAATCCCAAATAAACAAAAGTAATAGTTTACTGGGCGAACTACCTTCTTTAATTAAACAAAATGTGCCTTACTTTTACCTGTGTCATTAATTTACTGTAAGAGTTTTAATTTCATAGTATTTTATAGCTTACGAGTAACAGTTTCGTAGCAGTATTTCATAGTAGCATAGGAGTAATGATTCAAAGGCAGTATTTTATAACAGCTTAGGAATATTAATTTCATAGTAGTATTTTTATAGTTTTAAAATCAAAATGACGCCACATAATAAAACCACCATTAAATGCCATGGTATGAATATTTACATGGGGTAAACACTCAAGACGACATATTCAACCGGAGTTTATGGTAATGATTGTGGACTATGCTGTTACCCTAGATCTCAGTAAACCTGTTTAACCTCAAATTAACCATTGGCGTGAAACGGAGGCTGTGACATCTATGTCCGATATGTCAATAAAAGGTAAAATAATTTTGTAAATCACAGGTAGCGAAATGTTCAACTATTTCACTCAATGGCGCTTTAATTATATGGTCGTCCAATGCCCTGAGGGTCAGTTTTCAAGATTTCAATCTTAACACTGCATTTTAATGCAATAATTTTATATTTCAAATCAGGTAAAGACCGTCATGGTTGAACAATCAAAGTTCACCACTAAGAGTGTTATTGACCGACATGAATAACATTCTTAAGTACACACAGAACTAAAAGATGTTTAGCAATGAAAAGTACATATATAAAAAGAAAGGTATAAACGTGTCGAAAACTTTTCTTAACCGGTTAGGGGACACAGATTCGATGTTCACATTCCCCTCCACTGAATTCTCTAACGAAATCAATTAAATTGTAATTGTAAGCAAAGATTATCCCATCATACAGGCTTTAACGTTTGTATAGGGTCACTTTCTGGCAATATCGCGTTCGCCTATTCATTTTTAAAAGAAACGCGTTCCAGTGGTGCTCTTGTTAAAATATGTGTTCAATATTTTGATGTCACAAATATTTTTTTTCTTCTTGCTTGGTTAAATGGCGGATTATTATCTGTAAACTTTGAGGGGAATAACTTTGTTTGCTGAATAAAATTATCCTTACAGACATTGGTTTAAAACATTAATATGTTATCCTCTTTTTTTATGCCCGTTTCATATTCTTTATTCCCTTATTGATAGATTATGAAATATTAAACCTGTTATATTGTCTTAGTTTGAGAAATTACCCGTTTTAAATGTTGAACAAAACCTTGTTTTAGAACGTAGTTTTTATTGTCACAATTTTTATAAACCTTTTAACAGGCGATTATAACTTATCGTTTATTTCGTCAATTTGTTGGGGTTTTTATTATTATTATTAATCAATCTACTTGCATATTGCGTACAATTAAATTCAGCGGTGTATTATTTTCGGATACCCCTCTGGTTAAGCAGAGAATAAAAAACCCCATCAAATTGTTGACTGAATTCTGTAATTGTAAAATATTACTTGCTATTTATCTATTACAGCCCGAATATGTCAAGTTAAATATCAAATGCAGCGTTTAAGACTATATATACAAAGGTAGAATTGTTTCGTTTTTATAGTTCAAAATTTCGTTTTACTTGTCTTTACTACACTAGGATCTGGAAGAGTTGTTATCATTGACGTGTTTTGGAAGATGTGAGGGATTAGCCAATGAAACGGTATGTTACGACGAGCTTTTGGTGTGAGCTGCACGGAACTGTGGGTAATCCATTAGAAACACCAATGCTGATTGGTTAATCAAATATCTGACGTCATAGGGTCAAAAGCCTCTCGTATGACCTCTGAGGCGACCCACCAAAACATCTGGTCAAATCTTCATGTAGTGTAGGCTATCGAAAGTATAAAAAAACGAAACGAAATATAGATCTGTATTTTAACTAGATTGATTTAAACTAAACCTACTTTTGAAATACATATTTAATCGTATTGAGCTTGTCCCATCAACTCAATTATTTACTTTAGCGCTTTTAAGTCATGGCCATTTTTAGCTTCCGATTCTTTCTAGTGATACCAAACCCCCATTCAATCCCGCCTTTCAATCAATCAATAACCTTTGTATTACAGTCCAATAACCTATCACTAAATAAATATCTGTGATACAGACAATTCCGAGTAATTATTTGAAAGTCTGTAAAGATTATGGAGACAATTGGTTGTCTATGAAAGGTCAGAGACAGAATGCACTTTTCTTAAACATTTCTTTAGATGTTAAAGGGAATGAAATAATGTAGAATTTAACTTCAAACTTATCGACACCAAACGAGCTACTGAAGATAGACATACGCAATGCAGTGTGCTATAAAGGAAATTTTACCCGGGCAGCGGTATTTCCGTCTTATGCAATCAAATCTTATAATCTGATGTTTGTTCAATAATAAATCTCTCTCTCTCTCTCTCTCTCTCTCTCTCTCTCTTGCATCAATGAGAAAGGGAAACCAAGCTGGAAATTCAAAGGAATTTTCGCGGCCGACACCTCTTAGTTACCGAGCCAGCGCCTCACTGGGCCACCTTAGCTCCAGTCCAGATGTCATTGGAGTTACCATATGAATAAATAGATAGGGACTATCCCGATTTGAACAGAGTCTCAAAAATAAAAGTCCGAGTTCGATAGAAATTTAAGCGCCAAAATATAGAGGAATGGTGTATTTACCTTGTCTCAAAATTTCAGCTCAAAATATTGAGTTGTTTGGAAGTGAACGTCAAAAATGCTTATCCGGACACGTTACCCTTTTAAGATTTCTGGTCAATTTTTTCGTTGGGTGACTTGATAATCTATCGTCGTTCGTTTAGAGGTTTATACAGTGAATGACCCATGTGCCGTACTGGATAACGAAAGGTAAATTTCACCTACACATTGTTTTTATAAAATAAAAGTCTGGTTTCATCCAGACACCGCATAATACAGCTTGGGACACCGGTCTCCATTTCCAGATGAAGACTGACGGGTGTAAGTTGTTTGAAAACATATCACAAATGTTGAATTAGTTGCTCGGCCCTTGGGTACGGGATTTTAACACAAAATTAAGCAGTTTTATTCTCCAAAATATTATCGGGATTGGCCCTTTATCATCAGATTTAAATTATATTGGTATTCGATCAACAATTGTATTTTGGTGTCATAAAATCTATTTTAAATAAGAATGCTCTTCTGTTAATAGTTGCATTTTAGTGTCATGTAAATGTGGTGTTTTGCTCAAATTTTGTACATGTTTAAAAATGAATAAATGAAATGGTGTTCAATGGCAAGTCAACACTAATATATATTTGCTTATAAATGAAATGCTGTTCAATGGCAAATCAACACTAACCGGAATATATTGCACTAAACATATTTAAAAGCATGTCCTAAATAGATTCATACCAAGTTTCATTATTGCACTGCCTTTGCTTTTATTTTGTTTTAGATTTTTTTTTTAAAGTAATTGTAATTTATTTTGAACAATTTCAATATGAATTGGAATGGGAATGAAATCATGTAACTTTTTCTGATCTTTCCCCCAAGAATTCTTTTTAAAACTTACCGCTTGGTATCCCACAGGGTCCTGGGGTTCTAATATTATCCATAAAATCGCGGGCATATTTCCTTGCCGGTGGGTAGATTAACCGAACATGCCCACCAGCATAACCAACACATAAACATATAAACGTTAAAACTGTCCACATTTTGATTTCCTTTTAAAATAATATTCTGTTGCAATTAATTCAAATTATATTTGTATTGATCGTTTACTTGTCAAAGTTGACAATCTGAAATAGACAAGACCTGTAACTGCTGTACGGTCTGTCAACGCGATGATGACAGGATTAAATGCTGACTGTTAACCGAATGCTCCCGCTTTTATGTACTGTTTCTATAGACGCGATCGGTCTTTCGTTTTCATTGACTCGCTGATCAGTTTATCATACGTTCAAACTGTCTACGATGATTGACGTAGACATCTTTGAAGAATTCTACTGGTTGATCTGGAAATAGTACATAATAGGCATGACTTGATTTATATTAATATGTAATTGTATAGAGGTTTTTAATGCCAAGTCACCTTGCATGAAAGAAACGTACTACTTAATATTATTTATAGCTCTGGCCCGGAATGAATAAGCGTTTTCTACCATTATTCGCGCTTTTAGCGGATTTCCGACTAGAAGGAAGGTGCAGACAGTCATTAACGGTCTTATGTTACAATTATGGTCATGTTTTTATGAGCTAGAAACAAATCTGGCTAAAACATAAAATCTTTTTGATAAATGATAATTCTTTTTTTATATATATAACAGATACCTGCCCCTCCCGTATCGAATCCCCAATATTAGGTCGTAATTCTCTTTCTTACTTTACTAAAATAAGCCTTATATGATGAAAAAAACCCTCATTAATTTAATTTGTTTAACAAAAAAGTGTATAGCAAGGAGCCCATTTCTGGGGGCATTCACTCCCCCCTCCCCCCACCTTGAAATAATAATATGGTGCCCCCTAAAAGGCGTGTGCCCCTTGAAAAACGCTATGTTTTGCCCTCATTATTGTATCAATTCAGGTCCACGTATGCGCTAGAAATGACAATCGACAACGCCCCTCTTCCCCTGAAATAACTTTATGAGAAAAGGGTCACGGTCAAGATCTTTGTCCTTTATCATCAGATCGTGGGATGGGGTGAGCATTCAAGGCGGAAGATAATGATATAGACATGTGTGATATTATCACAATTAATGCTTTGCATCAATGAAATTGAATAACAACGTGATCCTATTAATTCATAATAAAAATTGACGTCAAACGCGTGTTGGATTTCTCTCTTTAAAAAGCACATTGTGTATGTATACACACGATGATGGCATCATGCACTGTCAACTGTCAAATTTTCTTGACAGGCCCCTGACAAACACCCTCCTGGCAAACATTCCCGGACATTTTACTTTTGTATAAAGTTTTCATATTTAATTGCTTTTAAAGGTACAATTTCATATTTTTAAATTATATTTTTAAAATGTATTAAAATAAAGCCTTCAAATCGATGCTATGTATAAACAGCCCTACCTTGATAAAGAATAATCCTATTAATCATATAATTCACAATTGCCAGTTGAGAAATTGGCAAAAACATCATTTTCAACTTCAAATTCAAACGTTTGAAGATAGCTATTCCATGGTAGGGAATAGAAAAACGAGGGAGGTAATTATATATAAGAGGTAATTGTGTTATTATTTCCGGTGTGAAACATTTTTGAGTGTGAGAATGATAACTATGATCGTATAATAGTGATTTGACAACCTATTGAGCAAAAGACATAGAAATAATTATGTTTTGACTTTCTTAGAAAATATGAAATTCTCGCTTAAATAAGGTCGAATTTAACGGACAAGAATTTCACCATGGGACTCCTCTTTTGACCTGTTTAAAAAGATTAAGAGATCAAATAAAATATGGTGGCTGATTGGTAAACCTTTGAATCTATCGTGTCCAAGAATCTGAATTGCCTATTACGGGCGCCTTTATATTGTTGCCTGTAGGAACAATCGTCATTGATGAATCAACAATATAAAGTATATACACATATATGACAAGTATCGAAGACGTATTTCATATTACATCATGAATACATGTGAATGTCGTGTTAACAGATTGCAATCTTATGTAACGGCAATTATCGAGTAAGGTTGTCAAATTAAGAAAAATCAGCCGGAAATAACCACATATGAGCAGCTGTTGGGAATTTGTTTAAATATTTTGGCCTAAATACAGCATATCGTTTGTAGTGAAGCGGGTTGGAACAGGGGCGGGGTTACGTTTGTAAAGAGACGGCGAGGTCTGTAGCATTTTTAAAAGAATTGCTAATGCAATGTGGGTTAAGTTCATCTTCGGACTTAATTTTTGAAATATAGTTGTTATTATCATCGTGGCTTGCAGTTTATAACGATAGTGATTCAAGTGAAACCTTATTTATCTTTACACGAATCCCCCGCACTCCTCTAGTCGTTAACAGTGGTTGATAATTCCTACAGACGACAACGATTAGGGACAACACTGTTAGCATTAATTGACTGGGGTGAGAAAACATTGAGTATTGATTAATGGTTAGGGTAAACCTGACGTGTTTAGAAAATAAAGAAAAAACTCGTTGATACATGTATGTCTTTCTTTAAAGGAACGTTACCAGATTTTACAGGGTGTCCGTTAGTGTATTCGACAGCCAATATATATAGACATATCCTGATCTTTTTTGTTTAAAAATCTTCAGTTCAGAATATTGCACCGTTAGGAATTGATGGTCATAATTGTTTATTGCGGTTAAGTAACTCAAATAAATGCTCCCTTAGAGGTTGGTTCAACACGAAACCAGACCAGGGATTGGGTTTATGTACCCAACGTACAGCGTACAATCTCTCTGCAGCACGGATTGAAGTGAGCTATACATTTCCGATAAGCTTAATCGATGGCCGTCTGAGAGGTATATAATAGCTGTAAAATGTAATTACAGTCGACGTAAGTCTTCCAGTGAATGTACGAGCAATGACATGGCAATGAAAACAATCGCCCATAATTGATACCCAATGTTGCAATGGTCAATAAAGACACCTTCATGCTTTAGTAACCATTTAAATCGCTAAAATATATTTGGGACGTCTACTTCAAGTAAGTATATTAAATCAATATTGACAATGGTTGTGTCAGGTGTAAAATCAACATGATAAATTAGCGTAAAAAGTATACTTATCACAGTTAATATGGCATTTAGTTCTATTAAATATTTGTATATATAAGAAGCCAATGGCCTGCTAATATAATTTCCTGCCGCTGGATAGTTGTAAAAAACTGTCAATTCAAAGTTGTTGCTGCTAGCTAAATAGCCGTAAACCAGGTTGTTTCTGTTAGATAGCCGTAAACAACTATCATTTTAAAGTTGTTACTACTAGATAGTCGTAATTGACTATCATTTTAAAGTTGTTGTTGATAAATATGCGTAAATAACTACAATTTTAAAGTTGTCGAGGTCTTATAGTCGTAAGATAGTCATAAACAACTATCAGATTAAATTTGCTAGATAGTCGCAAACAACTATCAGTTTAAAGTTGTTGCAGCCAAACAGTCGTAAACAACTATAGTTTCAAGTTCTTGTAGCTCCAAGATTATAGTCGTAAACAACATACAATTATTATAAAAAAGGAAGGTCAGAACTACTTGAATGTTTTCCTGATTTTAATCATCTAATCCGATTGTCAATGAATACCATTGTAAATAAATACAATTGATCTTTCAGCGAGTGAGTGTAAACGAGCGATAGTCACGGCAAATACTTGACGTAAAAGAAGATAAGGTTAAGGATCTGTAGGATCTCAAAGATATCAAATTTCATTATAATGAAATTAAAACGAAATCATAACGAAACAGGTCGTGTCCACGCAATGCGCGATTCGGTATACTTATAGAATACTTGAAATTACTTTAAGGAGGGTTCCGCTGTAATTTGGAAATTACCATTGCACAGGGTAACCATGGAAATAAAAAAAAAGTACCCTCTGTTTGTCTCAAAATGGCCAAAGTAAAATCATGGTGAAAGTTTAAGACCACCCCGTACAATTAATGGTTTTTTGGGGGTTTTTTCCCCTGATTGCATCCAAAACATTAATGATTCCATCAGCATTTGTTCTGATTGCAACAGCCATCAACTGAACACTTAAAGTAGCTATACATTTGACGATCAGTCTATAAAATCGAGTCTTCTCTACCCAAAGTTAAGACGGTCCAAAAAGTTACTACATTATGGGGCTATTCAGAACGACAAATAGTGCTGTCGCATGAATCCACCCACGAAAATGTAAAATGTCTGGGGATACGAAATGGGCGTTATCGGGCAAACAACACCCAATGACGACAATCTGATGAGACGAATAGTTAGTTAGTCATCAATGTGTTCTTCAAAAGGTACAGACACCTCAACTGCGAAACCTCTGTACACAGTCCTGGGAAATATGCCTATATCCGTTGAAAATACTCCTTAATGTAGTTTCCTAATTACCTCAAAGAACTCACCGGAGACCGAACATGTGTTCATCTCGTTAGATCTTTTATTATCTGAACGTACTCAAGATTTCATAAACCTCGTTTTGCACAAAAGTCTTGTTACATGTCAGACCACTTGCATTTTGTCGTTCTGAATAGCCTTTCTTCTGTAAAATCCTTGTGCTACAACTGTTTTCAATGAAGGATAGCTGTGTGCTGTTTCCACTAAATTAAAATGTGCTCATTTTTAAATTGTACCTCCATCGGACTGCAGATCAGAGGACAACCACCACAAAAGAAGGTATTTTTTTGACGTACCAGTGCTGTTATACAGAATTGATATAGCCAGTAACTACCCAAAGATCTTTCGATCCATATGTAATCTATTTTTGAATACTGGGTTGAAGATTATAATAGAAGCGCCAACACCTGAATAGGAGGTGAAACGTAAAATAGCAACAGCTAAGAAAATACATAATTTCACGAAAGGTACACTCTATGCTGTGATATGAACATATACCGGGGTCTCAGTGCGGAAGACACAAATGGGCACAAATCAGTGGTAATCAGTCCCCACCATTGGGGCGTTTTCGAGATATTCGGGGTCAAAGGTCAAATGAGGACATTTGCACTGAAAGTGAATGCGCAGCCATTCTTGTATTATGAAAACATGCTGAAAATAATCAAAAGTAATCACTCTTTCAATCAAAATGTAAACTTGCTAAATTCACCTTTATTCTTTGTGACCCCGGAGGTCAAAAGGTCATTTTTCCGTTTTTGCACTAGGAAGATTTAAAGCTATAAAGCGAAACCTGTTCTAATTAATAATA